GCCCAGGGTCTGTTCAGCAGCAAACGAGAGCTGCCGTCATTGCTTTTGGCGAGGCAGGTGGCCTGGGTTCCAGGTGCCGTGAAGCATTCTTGTCCCTGCCCATGCCAGCTCAGGGCTCCACATTTCTAGAAGGTTCCATTTGCTCAATATTCGTTAGTTCGCTTCTGGAGGGAGGATGATCAGTTCATCTCTGTGCTGCCTAAATGTTCCAACTTGCCTTCCTCCTACTTCGTGAGTGGGGCATGGGGGGGGGGGGGCCCCCCCCCTGACTTTCAGAGAGCACTTTCTTCGCTTAAATTGCAGCCCTACTCAGCGCTGTGGACCTCTGAGCGGCCACCTGGGCTGCTACCAGTCACGTGTGGCCTTGCGACGTGCTGTAGGAGTAAATAAGTGGACACACACTAGATTCTGAAGACTTCATACAAAAGAGGTGGAAAGTATCCCCTTAGTATTATATAGGAATTATGTGTTGAAGTGATAGCGTTTTGGAGAACGTAAAAATATTTCTGTTTTTGAATGTGGCTCCTGAAAGTTTAAAATTTTAGTGTGGCTCCTGGGTCATTTGAGCACTTACAATAAAAGCTCTAATAATAGATGCTTTGTCCTAGAGCAAGATGGGACTGTCAGGGATGTCTAAATAAATGGTCCCTGCCACCTTTAGGAGGGGTGACTGTTACCTTCATGAGCGCCGCTTGATTGCCTATAAATAATGGGATTTTTCTGGAAATGTAGTTAAACCTGCGTGTTCTACGTTTATTTCTATGATCTATATCCTGCACAGCTACTAGGGGAAGGTGCTGTTTGGCATTACGGAGGGGAGACGGTATTGGTAAAAACGGAAAGTTAATCTCGTAACTTCACTAAAATATCAGATAGGTAGCATACGTTCAGTAGATTTAGAGATTTGTTTGATAAATGAACGAGGGCATACATGGCTCACGTTCATATTTCTAATGGACAGGGCTTGTTAATACAGATCACCTCATTTCAGTCTCAAGGAAATCATTTCAGGTGGGTACAGTTATTACCATTTTACATATGGGGAAACTGAGGCTAAGACAGGTTAAGTCACTTTGAACAAATCCAACCTAGAGACAGGGTTCCTGACCCTACAGTCTGGCTGATTCCTTTCGACTCCTCTACTGAAGGGAACAAATGAGTTTGACCTAATGCTGTCCTGTTCCTACCCTGTGTGTCAGCTGATTCTGGAGGAGGTGGCCTGGGATTTTGTCACCGTTGACTAGATTTTTGAGGGCCCTTCCTCTTTAGGATGCCCAAGACTTTACCATTATTACCTGTTAAGGCCACATGCTAGGGAGACAGCAACAATAGCTGTTGAAACAGAACAGGACTGGAATGCTGGAACCATGAGGTCTAGGCCTGATTTTCTCTGTGACCTTAGACAAGCCATCTTGGGCCTCCTCCCTGTGGCCCTCGTGTGCTCTGATGTGCACAGTCCCGTTGTCAGGATCAGTGTGGCTCCGATGTCCTCGCTTAACAGGTTCACCTGACCTGGAAGGTCTTCTCTTTTCCGAGAGTGTTACTTAAAGGCCCAGAAATTCTGGCTGTGCCACTGAGTTCAAATTACCAAACTACTACACGAGAAAGTTGTCTCACAGTGGCCACTGTGTGTGTGTAATATATTATATATGTATTTAGATGGCATGTATGTGTGTGTGTGTGTGTGTGTGTATCTACACACTTAGCTAAAGTTCCATACATATACATGCTATACATATGTATATAGCTCATACATATACATGATTTTCTCCCTCTATATATATAGCATACGTGTATGAGACTTTAGCTAATTTTTTTTCCTATATACCTCAAATATTTTTGGAATGTACAAGACTTTAGACAGAAGTAAATACATTTTTAGAAAGTATTAAAGTAGAAGTGAGGAGTTTTTAGACTACTAACTGCCCAGGTTATATATATATACATATATATATATATATATATACACACACATATATATATATACACACACACACACACACACACACACACACATATTTAGCTTCTCCTCTGCTGTTGGTAATTCCCCCTTTAGGAAAAAAAAAAAACAACTCAGATGTGCACTGTACTAAGCAGGATGCCTCATAATAGCGAAAGAAAAGCGTGAATACTTAGAAAATCTGAATTTCAGATCTGGCCCCTGATTCTGTCCCTTAGGTGTGGCAGGATTGGGGTGTGTGGTTGCTTCCTGAGTCCGAATCCAGAGGTGTGGGATGGGGTCAGCAGCACTCATCACCAAGAGTGGAACGATCTAGTGTGGAGTAGTTACTCTCTCCTGCGTTTCACCTACCTCACCCCCTGCACATGGGCTCACACGGGCTCACACGCATGTGAGCGCGTGCATATACGTACAAGCATATACAAGTATGCATACGCGTGGGCATACACGTATACCCCAGGCACGTAAAAGGCAAGCACAGCGGGACCCGTCCATATACGGGTCAGTCCCACATTGAGAAGGAAATGAAATTTGACTGAAACGTACTAAAGCATTTACTGAGTGAGCAAAATTTCCATTCGCTTGATATCATTCAATCAGTAGAACATTCTGCACCAACATCTTGCCTGGTCATCTCTCCTTAAACGTTTTTTTGTCTCTCGCTTTTTCCCCCCTAAATAATTAGGTCAACTGATCTTGAAGGTTCCCTCTCAAGTGCTCTGTGATTCTCTAAACATTTCCAGTTTTTAATGTTTGTTTATTTTTGAGAGAGAGAGAGGCAGACAGAGCCATGAGAGGGGAAGAGAGAGAGGGAGACACAGAATCTGAAACAGGCTTCTGGCTCTGAGCTGTTACACAGAGCCTGATGCGGGGCTCGAACTCACAGACCGTGAGATCTTGACCTGAGCCGAAGTCAGATGCTTAACCGACTGAGCCACCAGGCGCCCCTAAACGTTTCCAGTTTTTAATTGCTTTTTGAAGTTAATACATTTTAATATACATTTTTCAAAGCAGTTAATAGAGTTGATCTCTGAGGCAGGGAATTCGATAGGTTTGATTATAAAAATAGAAGACCATAAAAATTCTTCATTTATCCATTCTGGACACAGTGTTAAACTATTAAAGTGGATTTTAAACCTGGCATAAAGAAGATGTGGACCCTTTCGGTGGAGAACACTTTTACTGGCTCTATAATCCCCGTAGTCCCCCAGGCAGGCCTGTCACTAACCCTTCCTTAACTGTGTTCAGACAAGAGCTTCCAATGCCCTCTTCCTGGAAGATGGCCAGATGCCTCTTGATGATTGTTGTTTATCAGCTCCCTGAAACATGGACATGAGTCCTCTTGTTTTGGGGAACCCCTTGCCATTTCGCCCAGCAGTGGCTGTGTACTTATGGGACTTCAGTGCCTCAGTGTCATTAATCTCAGGTGAAGAGAAGGCAGGCAGTTTGTGCAAAGAGGGCCCTGCGTTCAGAGTTTTGAATGGGGGCTATGAATTTTGCAGCGGACTAAATTCTTGTGTCCTTGGCTAAGACTCCTCTTGGTACCTGCTGTTCCTTCCCACCTTGTAACTGTCGGGTCAAGGTGCCAATCAACTGAGCGACCGTAAAACCACTTGATGAGCAGAATGGCCTTGCACACAGGAAGCAGTTTTGCTCTTTGCAGCCGGCCTACCTGTCTGTCCCTCTGGGCTCGCTTCAAACACTTCCTCTCCCGGGAAGCCGTCCCCAGTCGTTTCAGGCAAAATGAGCGGACCTGTGTCCACACGCTGCCTTGCGCAAACTATAATCGGAGCACATCCAGCACTGACGCCTGCAGCCAGGTCATGCCAATGAGCCTCTGCCAAATTTATGCTGCGGTACCAACCACCCCACAAGTCAGTGGCTTACGGCCACGGTGATGCATTGTCACTCGAGCCAGGATGGCTGTGCTGTGCACGGTGCACTGGTGTGGGGGCCCTGCTACACGTGTCTCCCATCATCCTCTGGGGCCCAGCGGCTGGCCGGGGCGCATTCTTCTCGTGGTCGTGGCCGAAGTAGCAAGAGGGCAAGTGCCAACACGCAAAGCTTCTCAAGGCCTAGGCTGGCCACCGGCACGTTGTCATTTCCGCTCACGGGCCGTTGGCCAAACCCAAATCAAATCGTCGGGGAGCACACCCCACCACATGGAAAGGCTGGATGCAGAGAGAGGAGGCGTAAAAGAATCGGGACTAGTCGGGGCACCCGGGTGGCTCAGTCGGTTGAGCGTCCGGCTCAGGTCATGATATTGGCGTTTGGGAGTTCGAGCTCTGTACCAGGCCTCTGCTGTCGGCACAGAGCCTGGTTGGGATTCTCTCCCTCTCTCGTTCTGCCCTTGCCCTGCTCTCTTTCTCAAAAATAAACCCTAAAAAAAAAAATAGATCTAATCATTCAGTCTTCCATACAGGTTCACCTGCCCTATTAGATCAGGAGCCCCTGGGGGGTGGCAAGGGTCAGGAATAGCGTCTGCTTTTATATCACCAGCTCCACTGCCTGGGGCTGGCAGGTAGGAGGTATTTCACTGATGTTTGCTGAGGTCCAAAAGACCTTTCCGGCCCTTTCCTTTACAGCAGAGGCTGGGCAAGCTCTGACCGCAGGGCCAAATCTGTCCCCGTGTCTGTGCAGAGAGCTGAGCATACAGATTGTAGAAAACAGTTGTTGAGAAACTCAAAAGTGATGCATGAAAATGATAATGACATTCAGATTCCAGCATCCGTGAATGAAGTTTCATTGGGGCACAGCCACACCCATTCCTCTGTAAATTGTCTGTGGCCTCTGGAGCCAAACGGGCATACCTGGGGCCGTCGTCCAGCCTGTGTCCCGCAAAACGGAAAACCTTTCCCATCCGGCCCCTTAGACAGGAAGTGTTTGCCACCGGCCCTGCCTTAGGGGGTAAAGAAACGGGGCGGGGGGAGGGGGGGGAGCCCCAGGGAGGTGACCGCCTTGCCCGGGATCACATGGCATTGGCAGCTCCACGAAGGCCTGTGTGCGTTTGGGGTTAACATCTCCCCCCTTTGTTTCCTAGTAACTGGCGGCCCGCGACACCCATGTGTCACTGATCGGGAGGTTCTCCCCGCGGCAGCGCTTCATGACCCAGCGGCGCCCGGCCCAGTGAAGCCACCATGGTGTCCAGCACAGCGGCGCTGCTCCTGGGCGCCGTGCTCCTGGTGGCCCAGCTGCAGCCCGTGCCCTCCCGCCCCGCCGCCGCCGCCGCCGCCGCCG